CTGGAGCCCTCCTATGGTCCCTCCCTGGCCCTGTTCATGCACTGGTGGGGTCCCTCGGCCTGGCCTGTGCCCTCTCTCAATCCAGGACCCCTTGGGGGATGTCGGAGAGCCAGTTTTAGCCCGACGGCAGAACGACCTGTTGTTATGACGTGCACTGACACCAGGGGGCAGACCCTCAATGCAGGAGCTGCCCCCTGGTAGTCAGTGTGCTCCCATAAGGGCACAGCTCAGTCAGCCAGAAGCTGGGCTCACAGCCGGAGAGTTCAGTTGCAGTGGCGGAAGCCTCTCCCACCTCCACAGCAGTGCTAAGGATGTCCAACTGCCAGCTCCTGGACTGCGAGAGGGTGCAGGCTGGGCTGAGGGACTCCCCCCGAGTGCACGAATTTTGTGCACCAGGCCTCTAGTCATTATTAATAATGTTGATTTTGAGCTCATATAAATTCTTGCCTAGAAAACAACTTAGTGGGATTGGACAGTTATCATGTCGATAAATTGCCAAGTGTCTTTTCTCCTGTGTGGTATTCTGATGCCTTTTTAGACTAGAAGCTCAGTTGCTTTTGTGGGTGGCAGAGATTACCAGTTGTCTGATTGGACAATGCTCTGAGAGAATTTAAAGGGTATTTAGTAAAGAGTGGGAAGGGTTTTCTTAAATGTTTATAAATTAAAAAGTCAAAGAAATATTTTCTTTCTAGGGAAGAGAAGATGGGGAACTTACCTAGTAATTGTTCAAGGATTTAGTTCAACAAAGCATCTATAATAATAAAAGTGTAATATGCTAATTAGACCGGACATCCTTCTGGACGACCTTCTGGACGAAGCCGGGGCTGCAGGGGAAGCCCAGGTCGCGGGTGCCAGAGGGAAGTGGTGCCGGCAGCAGGGGGAAAGAAGGCCTACTCTTGCATGAATTTCATGCATCAGGCCTCTAGTATTGAATATATTTGAGAAGGTTTTCTTGACTCAAGCAGTTCTACGTAGGTAGCTTTCTGTGTGTCTGCACCACGCAGTGACCATCTGCAACACAGCACTCATCACATTTTACCTCCTCTACTGGTTTTGGAGTTTCTTGTGGTGGGGACAGTTGTCTTCATCTCATTTCCTACTGCCTGGAGCAGGGATACAGTTGGCTTTCAATAAATTCTTTCATCTTCATAGTTATTCTATGAGACTAATTTTCCTTGCTAGAAAGGAATGACACAGGAAGGGCAGGTTTAAGAAGCTCCATTTCATTGCTCTGGGAATTTGCAGTGTCCTTTTTGATTAGTCTAATTCTGACTCTGTGCCCTATTTTGGATATTGTTTGTGAGATTGAAGTTCCCTCTTGAGTCCTATCTGCATTCACATCTTGTTTCCTGTCCATTAGGCTAGTCACATTAAGAATAAAGATACTGTCTCTGAATCCCAGCCTGAGGAATGGAGCCAGTGGGCCTCTACTGCGTTTGGTGGATGTGGCCATCCTGGAAGACATCTCCACCTGTATCTGGAGGAGAAGCATTGGGTATTTCCTTGGCCTTCAAGCTGATATCTCCCTTGCTGTTAATTGTCCCTGAGACTTCCAGCACCTGCTGCTGTTGTTGTGCTCGGTTTGCTCAATGAACCTCATCTCAGCACCTGTATCTGAACCTGTTTCTCAGCACATCTCCAAGGGGAGTTCTGTTTCCAAACTCTGGCCCCTTCTAGACTGTTTTGTCGAATTATACTTGAATGGACCAAAATCCAAAGCGTAATTACATCAAGTGAACAGAAATTTCACAGAATGGAATTGTTCATAAAATATTCGTCATTTCCAAGAAGGGTTTTTAAAAAGGTCAACTTTGTTTAAATATATGCAAACAGGGTAGCATTTAGGGATTAGAAACCATCATTTAAGAAAATGATAGGTTCTCCCCTTCCTAAAATAGGGAAACCTACCTATTGGGGAAGAGAGTGAGGTAGATCAAGGGTTTCCATTCTCTATAGTATTTATGCACACCAAATTTATTGCCAGATATTCCCTTTATTTCATATGTCAGTGTGGAACTTAAGCCAAAACTTGTATTAGATCTGTTTTTATGAAGAAAGTTATTGTGGCTCTTTTTACGGCATTACTAGAGGCCCGGCGCACCCACCAATAAATCAACTTTCTATCCATGTCTTTGCATCTGGATTCGTGGGGGATTGGGGAAGCCTCTAGAAACCCCAGGATCATTGTCCTTTGTCTTCCAAAAAGGCTGGCAACAGATCAGAACCAGGGAACAAATAAGCCCAGCACAGCAGCCTAGATAGGAGTTCAATAGGTAGGGAAGAGGGAAGGAAAATAACATTTCAAAGGCACAGAGATGTGAAAGAGCAGGTCTGTTTGGGTGATAATCCCAGTGTGATGTGACTGAAGAAGTTTGAAGTGATGCTGTAGAAATGACTAAAAGGAAAGATTGGGGCCACACGATGGAGCATTTTGAATCCCACACTAAGCTGTTCAGAACATCTGTAAGCAACTGGAGCTGTTAAAGTATATGAGGTGGGGAACGATAAATCTGACATGCATTTTGGTAAAATAATGATTTGATTTGGTAAGAAAATTACTTTAGTGACTAGGAATGTATTAAAGAAACAAAAGAATGAGGAAAGGAGACCTTTTAGAGGACAAATGATGAAGCCCTTTACTAATGGAATGCAGAAAAAAACGGGAAAACATACTCAGTAGGGCAAAAGTAGGTTTACAGTTGTTTGTATGGAAAATAATACAATAATTAATAAATAATAATACAAGAATAAGCTCTGTGTTTCATGTACTCACCACAGTAAACCTATTTTGCCCCACCCGGTAGATTTGTGATCCACTTCTGAATAGAAGCTACAAGACTGACTGATTATGGGAAATATGAGAGAGGCAAAGGTCAAAGTGGATTGAACAATCAAGAATCATACCCACAGTGAAATTATTATGCTTATCCAGGGGACTTGAATGCATCCCTTAGGAAGTGGAATCTTTATGTAAAATAGACACTTGGGAAGTAATTATTAGTAATTACAGGCCCTTTTGTCACAGATTTTGATCCTTTACATGCACCAATACTCACTACTGCTGTTCATGAGGGTGACAATCGTGTGGCCTAACAATGGCTTCGATGCCATTAAGAACAAAAGGGCTTTTTGAAAAATAGTCAGATTACCATTTACTGTCACAATCTAGTCTTTGAATGTAGTCTTATGTTTCTTTTCATGATTTCTCCTTATATTAATGCGGCTCCTGCCTCTGTTACAGGTTTAAAGGGTACATGTTTAAGCTGGCTTGTTGATATTGTGATTAGGTTACCCATGTGTATGTTTTATTTTGATCAGAAAACCTTATGAGAGATAATCACATACAGTTTTTAATCCACGAAGGAAATGGTACCTAGCACTAAGCATACTGATTTTTGAAATTTGATGTTTTCATGAATTTTTTTCTGATGTTTGAATACTTGCCCTGTCCAATAAAAAACATAGGTTGACTGCATTTAACTTATTCACACATAATTAAGGAAGTTAGCCAAGATATTCTGAGCCATTATTAAGTGGAAACTTTTAGGTACAGAGGGCTATCATTACCTAACTGAAAATTTAAAAATATAAAAAGTGTTACTTTTTATTTATGTCTTAAGGACATTCCTTTTTAAAGAATATGTTTTTATTGATTTTCAGAGAGAATAGGCGAGGGGGAGAGAGAGAGAGAGAGAGAGAGAGAAACATCAATGATGAGATGCACTCCCTCTACTGGCATCAATGATGAGAAAGAATCATTGATTGACTGTCTCCCTGCACTCCCTCTACTGAGGATTAAGCCCGCAACTCAGACATGCTCTCACTGGGAATCGAACCTTGACCGCCTGGGTTATGGGTCAATGCTCAACCACTGAGCAATACTGGCTGGACTTAAGGACATTCTTTAATGTATCATGTTGACTTTAGGGAATGGAGGTAGGGGGAGACAGGGATGAAAAAGAAGATGCTAGAAATGAAAACTAAATTTCCCCTTAGAAATAAGTTCAAAGAAGACCTGAATAAATGGAGAGAAAAAAACAATGTGTGCTAGTATTGGAAGAGTCAATATTGTTAAGATGTTATTTCTCCCCAATTGATATATAGATTCAGTGCATTCCTAATCAGAATCCCAGCTGGACTCTGTAGATACTGATGAGTTGATTTACAAATTTAAATGGGAAGGTAATGGAACAAGAATAGCCAAAATAATTTTGAAAAGGAAGAACAAAGTTGAAGACTCATTATTTGATTTCAAGGTTTACTGGAAAGATTCATTAATCAAGGCAGTGTGGTACTGATGGAAGGATAGACGCATAGATCATTGGAAGGGATTAGAAAGCCCAGAACTAGACACATATATATGCAAGAGAGGAAAAGACAACAAAGAAAGTAAACGTTCAGTAATAAGTGAATCTGGATAAGTGGTATATAGATGTCCTTTATACTATTCTTATTCTTACAAATTTTCTGTATGTTTGACATTTTTTTGTGAGTTTAAAACATTCTTTTTCTGTAGTAGGAAAATCTAACATACTTTAAGAAGGTATCCCAAAATAAAATAATTCAATTTTGGTAAGCAATTAAATTTCCCTTTTCATAAAGCCAATTGTTAGGTTAATAAGCATATGTAAACTGAATTTCTTATTCATAAAATCAAAATAAGTAGAGTCAGAGTTAGCTAGTAGCTTTATTATTGTGACTAGAAATGTGGTTACTGCATTACCACTTTTGATTATTAAAAATGTTTAAAATGTTGTATATAACCACTTCAGTTATAAAAATGCATTAACAAACTATGTATATGGAGTCGTTATGATTGTGACAAACCACTGATAACACAGGTTCGGTGGGTAGGTGAACAGTAGTATATCACTCCAATAACAAATTCAAAGCCATAAAACTAATGAATATTTTTCTAATGGGAAATGTAAGTTTTTTTTAATACTCACCTGAGAATATTTTTTCCATTGCTTTCCGGAGAAAGTAGAAAGGAGGGATGGAGGGAGAAGGAGAGAGAGAGAGAAACATCCATGTGAGAGAGACACATGGATTAGTTGCCTCCCAAACCTGCCCTGACTGGGCCTGGGAAGTAAACCCATGATCCTTCAATGTGCGGGCCGATACTCTAACCATTTAGAAACACTGGCCAGGGTGGAAATGTAGGTGTGCTTTTTTTAAAATTTTTTATTTGTTTTTTTTGCTAAAAGTATTACAAAGGGTATTACATATGTGTCCTTTTTTTCCCCCCGCCCTTGACAATCCCCTTAGGTGTGCTTTTTAAAAAAAAATTAATATCAGGTTTATTGAGGTTTATTCACTTGCAGGAAATTCATTCTGCTTAGCTATTGCATGAGTTTGGACAAATACATACAGTTGTGTAACCTCTATTACAATCAAGATGCACAATTCCATCATCCCCCAAAAGTTTTCTTAAGCCCTTTTTAGTTCTTCCACCCTTTCCAGCCCCTGACAAAAACTAATCTATTTTCGGTGCTTATAGTTTTGTCTTTTGCAGAATGCCATATACATGGAATCTTAAAATTCATAACTTTTTTTGAGATAAATTCACATACCACATAATTTATCCATTTAAAGTGTACAATTCAGTGGTTTTTAGTATACTCACAAAATTGTGCAACTAGCATCACAATTCATTTTAGAACATTTTTATTACTCCTAGAAGATCCCCAATACTCATTAGTGGCCACTCCCCATTTCCCCCCAACTTTCCCAGTCTTAGAGAACCACTAATCTACTTTCTGTGTCTAATGTAGCCTTTTCAATCTGGCTTCTTTCACTTGACATAATGCATTTGCGATTCACCAATTGTTGCATACAATAGTACTTTATTTCGTTTTATTGCTAAGTAGTGTGCCATTTTATAGACTATAGAGCTATTAGATTTTGGAATTAATATATGCCAGTTGAACAACATTTCCTTTTTTTTCTTTTCAGTTTTAATGATTATGAATAGAGTTACTATAAACATTTGCCTAAAAGTTTTGTGTGAACATTAAGTTTTCATTTCTCTTGAGTAAGTGCCTAGGAATCAGATTGCTGGATTGTATGGTTCCTAACTTTATAAGCCAAACTATTCTCCAAAGAAACAGTACTATTTTGCATTCCCACCAACAGTGTAAGAGAATTCTAGTTGCTCTGCATTCTTGCCAACATATTTATAGTGTTTCATGTACACTAGAGGAGAGTGTATATTTTTGTGTTTGGGGATGATAAGCTCTGTAATGTCAAATGTGAGCTAATGTGTTTTTATAGCCAATATTTCCTTATTTTCTGTTTGGATTATCTGTCCATTGCTGTCAATGGGGTATTTATGTCTCCTACTATTATTGTGTTTTTGTCCGTTTCTCCCTTTTGTTTTGTTAGTAGTTGCTTTGTATATTTTGGTGCTCCAAGATTGCATTGTGTTGACCTCTTTATCATTGTAAAATGTCCATCTTTATGTCTTGTTACCTTTGTTATCTTGAAATATATTTTGTCAGATATAAGCACGGCTATAGCACTTTTCTCTGGATGACTTTTGCTTGGAGTATCCTTTTTACCCCTTCATTGTGAGTCCATATCTGTCCTTGTAGCTGAGATGGGTCTCCTGAAGGCAGTATATGGTTGGGTTTTGTTTTTTGGTTCATCCTGCTCCTCTGTGCCTTTGGATTGGTGAATTCAGTCTATTTACATTTAGAGTGATTATTGATATACCAGGGTTTTCCATAGCCATTTTATCTTTTGTGTTTTGGTAGCTTTATGTCTCCATTGTTTCTTTCTTTTTTATTTTTTGTTAATCCTCACCTGAGGATATTTTTTCCCATTGATTTTTAGAGAGAGTGGAAGGGAGGGAGGTAGGCAGAGGGGAACGGACAGAGAGAGAGACAGACAGAGAGAGAAAGACACCAATGTGAGACACATTGATTTGGTTGCCTCCCTCACACCTTACGACTGGGCCAGGGAATGAACCTGCAACCCAGGTACATGCCCTTCTCTGGGAATCAAACCCACAATCCTTTGGTGCACGGACCAACACTCTAAACACCTGCTATGGATCCATTGTTTCTTTTTGCTTGTGTTTCTGTCTGTTATTTTAGTTTAGTGGGATTCTATGATTTCTTTCTTCTGTTTCCTCTTTTTCAGTGTCATGTGTTGCAGGTTTAGATTTTGTGTGTGTGTGCTTACCACTAGGTTTATGCAGAAGAAAGTTTCATACATACGATCATCCTTTTTTCTCCTGATTGCATCTTATCTCCTTTTACCTGTGCAAGTCAGGCCTTTTCCTTCTCCTTTTTTATGTTTTTGTTGTCACAAATTATTCCTTTTTATGTTCTAAGTTCATTTCCAAATTGTAGTAAATATTGTCTTCCTTTTGAAAAACTATTATTTCTTTTAACCTTTATGTTATATAAGTGTTTATATTTAAGTGTTTGATATTCTATTCTGTACAAGGGTTGCAATTTCCTGTTTCTGTCTGTCTTACTCATATGTTTGTATTCTTTCATCTTTTTGTTCCAGGAAGAAGAGCATCCTTCAGTATTTCTTGTTTGGTGGTATCAATCCCCTTAGCTTCTGTATGAACAGATCACATTTTAAGAAACATTGGATCTGGATTAAGGTTGATCTCTAGAGGCGGTCACTTACGGATGACCAGCTGGGTTATCTGCCTCAGTTTTCTTATTTGTAATTTCATCATGAGATTTCACAGCCTAATGGCTAATATTTATTGAGGTCTTACTATGGACTGGGCATTCTTTAGTTATTTTATGTATATTATTTAGATATGTTAGTTTTTTAAAGGTTTGCCAAACTTCATAAAGTAAATACTATTATTATTCCTATTGCTGAGGTGATGGAAATGAAAGAAGGTGGTAATTTGCCGAGGATCCTGGAGCTAGTGAGTAGATTCATACCTATCTGTTGCCACACAACTTCAGAGTTACTTACTGACTGCATGCTTTACTGTTCTCGAGGATGTGAAAGTGATGCATTTTAGGAACTGAAAGAATACTGTGTGGCTGGAGAGAAGGTGGCAGGTGAATGAGCCAATACAACTAGGATCCCTTCTCTTTGTATTTATTCTGTTAGATTTTTTTTGCCATTTACTTGTGTTTGCGTCTTATTCATTTTTAGTAATTTTGTTTTGAAAATAAATTAAATTTGTTATTAATGTGCTTATTTGTAATACATCTATTGGTGTTATTCATTAAATAATCTTCCAGGTAATTAGTCAAACGAGTATAATGCAAACAGTAATGAAAAAATACTTCTAACTTTTTGGACTCTAATAATTTTTAGCATATAGGTCATTCCTTAGGATTTTTGTATTAATAGTTTTATTTTAGTATAATTCCTTTTACCATCATCTTATAATATTTTTTGCCTTTCAAGTATGAATTATTAATGTTAGTTTATTATTTTAAAGGAAAGGATCAATCTCATTCAATGTAGTCTGAGAAGGTTTCTGTTTATTTTAGTTGAACTATTTTTGCTGGCCATTATTACTTCCCTAATCATTACCCAATGAAGGGACCAAATGCACTTGCAGAAGTATCACTTTGAGCACCCTGTATTCTTAAGGAAGAGTTTAGTGAAGAAAAACAGTAACTGCATCATTAGATTCTCTCTCATCTTAGGCCTCTGGGTTTTGGTTCCTCCTTTTAGATTTCACCAGTTCATTTTTGTCACTCACAAACAGCCAAAGCAGCTTAAACTTTTATGAGGTGGAAAGGTGCCTAATGGTCCAATTACCTTCATAGAAGTTTCTAGAACTATGAAGCATCACATAGTGGCAAAACATACTAGCCAAAGCTGACTGCAAAATAAATTCTTTCTCACTGAGAGAGCCAAAACAATTTTTCTTTAAATTTTACTGCTTTTTCCCCCCCTTTCTTTTGGTAGCTTCCACTTAATTGTTCAAGTTTTCAAGTAACACAAACATTATTTCCTTTCATTTCCTTCTGATCCCAAATAATGCTAGTTAAGTAGTCTATTTCCAGTTAGAAATGTTACTTCCCTTGCCTACTTATATAAAAGTCTGGGATAATTTTTCAAGTGGTTCAAATGTAAAAGAAACAATACAGTGGAATTATTAAAGAAGACTATAAATTTTTTTGTATATCATAAGCATTTTAAAATATATATTTTATTGATTTTTTTTACAGAGAGGAAGGGAGAGGGATAGAGAGTTAGAAACATCGATGAGAGAGAAACATTGATCAGCTGCCTCCTGCACACCACCTACTGGGGATGTGACCGCAACCAAAGTACATGCCCTTGACTGGAATCGAACCTGGGACCTTTCAGTCCGCAGGCCAACTCTCTATCCACTGAGCCAAACCAGTTAGGGCTATCATAAGCATTTTAAGAGTCTTTTTTGACATGCAGATATGTTTGAGGCATTTCACCAGGATATTGTTTTTCTGATGTATGCTAATTGGCATTGTGCAATTTTAGAACTGAACAGTTTAGCACCTTTATTTTAGGCTATAACCACAGTTTACTGAGACCTGAGGAGCCTGTTACTTGGCATGGTTATAGCATAGCAAAGCTGGAACCACTAAAGTTCATATCTCTGAACTCCTAATCCAGCACCATTTGTACTTATTTCTCATAAATACTCTTCTCTGAGCTGAGGAGATGATTTCAGTAAATATTGAGTCTATAGGGGCCACATGTCACTAGTCTTACATAGAAGAAAAAAGCAGAGCATCAAAGGCAGTGATTACAACTAAGTAAAAGCAACCTCAGAGTCTTCTCAGGAGACCCCAGGAAAGTCATTCATTAATAAACAACTATTAGTTGATTACTTATTATGTACCAGCACCACTGTAGACAATGGGATAGAGGTGGAAGAGACACATGTGTGCCAAGCAAAAACAGAACACAAAGTGTATTGGGATAGAAGGTTTTAGATTGAGAGAACATATTGGACAAAGATCAGCAAAGTACTAGGCAAGAACTGGCATGCTTTCCCTGCTACACAGAAAACTCTTCAAAAACAAGAGGCACTGAATGGGTAAACAAAATGTGGTAAATATGTACAATGGAATATTTTGCCATTATAAAAAGAAATTTAATTCTGATACATGCTACAGCATGGATGAATCCTGAAAACATTATGCTAAGCCAGACACAGAAGGACAAATATTATGTGATTCCACTTATATGAGGAACAAGGATTAGGAAATTCATAGAGACAGAAAATAGAACACAGGTTACCAGGAGCGGGAAGGAGTGAGTAATGGGAAGTTACTATTCAATAAGTACAGAGTTTTTGTTTGGACTGATTTAAAAATTTTTCTGGAAATGGATAGTTGTGATGGTTGCATAGCATTGTGTACTTAATACTACTGAATAGTACACATAAAAATTGTTAAATTATATATTTCACGCTAGGTGTATTTCACCACATACACACAAAAAAACTTTGGAGGCTGCCTTATTCATCATTATAACCCATTCCCTAGCACTTATCACAGAGCGGGCTCAAGTATTTATTGAACTGAATTGACTCAAGTGCCAAAGAAGGAACTCAAGACAGAATTGGGATATACATCATGTTGGGGGTGGCAAACAATTGGAGACTTCAGCTCATGCAGACAGAATGGATTCCCACAGTAAGAAAAGAAGGCTTCCTAGAGCTTTGAGGTCTGGCATCATGACAGTTGGAGTGGCTTGTTACACAGTCAGGGGTGGAGCCTAGACTGGTGGCGGGTTCAGAGAAAGCACAATGAAGTGGCCAGTCAAGCAGGAAAGACATTTTGCTCTGTGTGTGTGTATGTTCATATTGTTATTATCCATTCAGTATTTCATTCTTACTAAATGGTGAAACTAGACACCATACTACTTGAAACATCAAAGAGCATTGTAAGCCATGTTTTCAGAAGAATGCATCCTATATTAGTTTGGATTCGTTCTGCTGCTGCTTCAGTTTTTCAACACATATATACATACATACATACAGGGTCCCAAAAATGTATATACACATTTTGAATAATTATAAAGGCAATGTTTATTAAAATATATTTCTTTTTCAAAATTGAGCTATCAGCTGTTAAAGAGTGCATACACTTTTTAACACCCTGTATGTATGTATGTATATGTGCATATATATACTTACATATATATACTTATAGATATACTAGAGGTCCGATGCACGAAATTTGTGCAAGAGTAGGCCTTCCTTCCCCTGGCTGCCAACACTGGCTTCCCTCTGACACCCGGGACCCGGGCTTCCCTCGCAGTCCTGACTTCGTCCAGAAGGTGGTCTGGAAGGACATCTGGTCTAATTAGCATATTATGCTTTTATTATTATAGATATTTATATGTATTACAGCTCAAACATACTATGTAAATATCACTTAACTACCATCCAAGTGAAGATACAGAATATTTTATGTTTTTAGCACTCCAGGAGGTGTCCCAATCCCTCCTTTCAGTCAACCTTTCCATTCACTCCCATGTTAACCTGTTCCACACATTTTAAATGAGCGTCTACTCGGTGTCAGGCACTGTTCTAGGCACTGGAGCAGATACAAAGATGAATAAGATGATCCCTCCTCTCTAGCAGATCAGAGCTCAGAGATAGAAATAAGCATATAAATAAAAATGTGCATAACTACTCTAATAATTATAAAGGACAGTGAGAGTAAAGGGAGATAATTCATGTGAGCTGGAGTAGTTAGAAAAGACTGTGCATAAGAGAGGAGAGTTTATTTTAGTTGGATCTTGAGGGATAATAAATAGGATTTTCAGAGGCAGAGCTCAAGATGAGGCCTCCAGGTAAGGAGAACACTAGGAGTTAAGACTCAGAGGCAGGAGTAAGGGTTGCAGTGGCTTATGGAGGGACTGAAATCTTGTGTGAGTGCATAATTAATGATATAATGGCAACCTTTGGAGATGCCTGAACACCAGAATAATGAAACATGCCTGTAGAATTTAATTTTATTTTTTCTGTCTGAAAATTTTCATAAAGAGCAAATATGAAAAAATTGCAGGATTTGATTTATATTCAAGCTATGTCTTTACAGCCACAAAAACCAAACTACCTTTATTAAGAGTGATTTATTTTCTTAGCAGGATAGGGAGATGGAGGGTGCTCTTAGGAAACTATTGGGTTGGTCAGAGGCAGCTTAAGTTTCCATGCTGTGACCCCTGATGGTTTTCATTAGTAAAATCTGCTAAATTACTGGAGAAATAAACCTTTATTAATCTTGTCAGATTTACTCATCTTGTAGAGAAAGTATACTTCTAGTATTTTCTCAGCAACAGAGTACTTGCTAAGTATTAGCTATTCTTGTTTTACTTTGAACTTCTACTCAGAACTGAAATGAGTATATTAGTTTCTCTCCCTGTTCGTTTGTGTTCTAATGAGAAAAAAAAATTAGAAATGCATTTGTTTCTACTCTGGTAAACTGTCTTTTATCTAAGTTAATAAAGAAAAAGGGTTATCCCAAATTAGCTAAATAGAAGTTTGACAATTTAAAACAATTTGAGAGGTGTGTAATTTTATTATTTCCCTATTAAAACTTTTTTTTCAACTTTTAGATAAGTATTATATAATGGAAGTCTATTTATGGGAGGATACAACTATTTTGTAATTGTGATATTAATTGCTAACCCCCAAACTCCCACAATGGGTTGAAAACTCATCATATGAAGGAGATCACATATATCCCTGATGATCATATTTCCCATCAAAAAATCCTATCTGCTAGGTTAGGGCAGAGATAAATCTTGCCTCCTGTCAACAAATTTACATAAATCTTTAGGCTACAAATTGTAAAAATACAATAGTATTTCTAGTAATATGTATTATTTCCTGGGTGAGTATATTTAAAAGTAGGTTATTTTAAAAATAACATGTTTCTATAAACAACTTTCTAATTGTTTCAAATTTCTAAAAATAATTTATTTTTATAACATCATTTAAAGTAACTTCTTTTTATATCATTTCTGGAGAGTTTAAATTAAAAATCACAAAATAATACATAGAAGTAATAAGAAGACTCTAATGTGATTTTTTTTTACGAGCCTCCTACTTTACTGCCCAATTTGAGCCATAATGTATATTACCATAAAAAAATGTAGTTCTATATATAGCTTTGTATTTTATTTCAATTACTTTTATGACCTTGAATCTTGGCAGGAGTTCCACTCCACCCTTTCTCCCTCATTTCCAAATAATTTATCAGCTATCTTAACCCCATAGTTTTCTTCCCTAAAAATTTAAATCATGATTTCTTATTAATAAAGCATCTGTATACCATGAATTTTCCCTAAGTTTTTTATTCATCATTTCTATGAAATTCTTTTAGAGACTAAGTCTATTCAAATTTCATGCCAACCATATTCTATCATGGAAAGTTTATTACATGCAGGTTAACTGGTAGAGCATAAAATTGAATAGACTAAAAGTTTCCATTATACAAGGTGGGACAAAAGTAAGCTTACAGTTGTTCATATGGAAAATAATACAATAATTAATAAATATAGTAATGATACAAGAATAAACTGTTTTGCATACTCACAACTGTAAACCTACTTTTGCTATGCCCTGTATGTAAACTTTTAATAAGCAGTCTGAACCAATGGTGAAACTTAATCCTCTAAATATTTTATCCTACTTCTATATTTCTACTGCAATCTTGAAGAGAAATCTGAGTTTGTGGGGATCATTCCTTCAAGATTGCTCACTTATGAGCATCCAGACAGACAGACACATTTGTTTTAATTGAACATGTACCTACTTGGTAATAGGTCCTGACCTCATCTATTTCGTGTGCAGGTGGATTGAGTCCACTGAGAGTAGTTTACCCAGACCCATTGGGAGCCTCCCAGCCAACTTGGCACATGGATGCACATTGTGAATGAAAATACTGACTTGCTGAGTAACCAGTGTCCTGAGAACCTAAAAGAGTGATTTGTTTGGTTACAGTGGTGTAGTGAGGTGACTTTTCCATTTTTCTTCAAAAGCTTCTCAAGTGCTAATCAGTTTCAGAACCAGAGATCCCTGGTGCATTTGGGACAGAAGAGCCTTTTCAGGATTGAATATTCTTCTTATATACTTATTTTGCTTTATAGTACATTGATTTTTTAAATATAAAATCTCTGCGTCACATGATGGAGAAAAGACTAGCTGTATAGTGTAGGAAAACACTTGGCAGCTATTACATTCTCAAAGTGAATAGGAACCATATGCTGCTACTGTTCTAAATGCAAAGGAAAAAAGAATCGAAAGGATAAGGTAATACCCAGCTGGTGTGGCTCAGTGGTTGAGCATCGACCTATGAACCAGGATGATTCTCTCTCATCATTGATGATTCTGACTCTCTCTCCCTCTCCCTTCCTCTCTGAAATCAATGGAAATATATTTTTTAAAAAGATAAGGTATGCCATATTGTATATTGTGGCCAAAGATTATATTTGTTATGAGCCCAGCATCTATTTTTAAATGAAGAGGTATATTGGGGCCTGCAAACTATGCCCTGTATGCACCTTTTTTTTGTAAATAAAGTTTTATTGAAACATAGTCATGCACATTCATTTACATATTGTCTGTGGTTGTCGCCTTGCTACAATGGTAAAGTTGAGTAAATGCAAGAGAGTTCATTGGTTCCATGGGGGCTAAAATATTTACTGTCTTGCTCTTTACAGAAAAGATTTGCCAATCCATGGGTAAATGACTAAATAAAATTTTATGTAGAGATATTTTAATGTAAATCACAGATATCTACACATTCCACCTTTAATTTCTTAAGTTGAGTAATTTTTCCTAACAAAATTATTATACCTAACAAAATTAATAGCTATTCCTCAATGTAATTAGATACATTACATAAACATTTCAGTTCACATAAAAACTTCTGAATTGTTTTCAAAATGTAATTTACAATTGGTTTGTCCAAGCCAGAAGCCAATCTGGTACTATGCATCCGATGTTTGT